ACAGCACATAGGATAAATATAAGTCATTTTAGAGCACACACAATTGCTTCATTGGTAGGACCACCATCAGAGCATGAGAGTCTATACTTTCTTCAGGGGAGACAAGTGTAGGTTTATACTTCCCAGTGGCTAAAATATGTTGTTTGTGTGTGTGTGTAGGAGTGAGTGTCAGTATACATCAGTGTGAGTGTCAGTGCGCATGTATGTGTGACAATGTGTATCTGCCCTTTGCTAAATTCTCCTCACATTGATGCCATGTTGCAATGTTTAATTCCATGGAACCTTTACAGCTTCTAATGTTAATTGGTCCTGTAATGTAGAAAATGGGATTTCCGCATAATTCAGAATACAGAAATGGTGTTGGTGGTCTACAAAAGATGTATTTCAACCCTCACTAAATTATTTGGAGGTTGTTGTGAACATTTGGCAAAGACCTCCTGTTAGTGAGTTGAGGACAGCCCATACAGTGGCCTTTTTTTTTTTTTTTTTTACAGGGGTCATACCTTTATTTAAGGTGATTTGCTGTCAACCCTTTCCACAGCGCTGAATTAGCACAGGCTCCCTCTGGCTGCTCCATAATAAGTAATGGTCATTCAGAGCCCCGTAGACCCCTTGGTCCTTACAAATATTTGTTGCATGTCATGAGCATGCAGTGCCTGTCATATTGTACAAATATTTTGTATGGATAATGAGGAAGTTAATGCTCTTCTTATGACATCTGACCCAAAGGGATCGATTTAAACCCCTTAATTTTAACAAAATGCCTCAAAAAGGATTTTAGAAAAACTATAATATCCTAGCACCATAGCCACTTACCCGCCTTCCTCCCTACTCAATGAACTGCTTGAGAAGCCTCTGTTTGGATTGTTGAAATTCTGTTCAAGCTGTTTATCATGTATCCCCAAAGAAAGTTTGCAGAAAAAAAAAAATGCATGCATATTTTCTTAATATCTACTAAATTGTAAAAAAATAACATAATATATAAAAAGGTTCATCATTTTTCTTTAACGCAGTCTTCTCACCTGACAAAACCATTTACAATAACTTAAATAACATAAAACTAACCAATACATACGGGATATTCTACTAAATGAAATAATTGGGAAAAATGTGCCAAGGCTACTTAGGACCAACTTTTAACAACTCCCTGTAAAGTTAAAAACAAAACAAAAACAAAAAAAAACAACTAATTTTAAGTGTTAAAGCTTTCTTATCATATTTCTGCTAACACTTAAATTAATTTCCTATCTCCAGCACTAAAAACTAAATATTTCTCAGCCTGCATATAGCATTTTCTTCCTTATAAGTTGCTTATTAAGTGCATTTTTTTAATTGTTTTTTTTTAACAAGTTTTATAACAGTAACTGACACAGATAATTTGAAATAACATAAAAGTTAAACAAACTCCCAAAACAATTAAAGGAACGCTTCAAGCACCGTGAACAATACAGCATGCTGTAGTGGTTTTGGTGCCAGGAGCGCCTTCCCAATGTAAAAAGCCAAACCACCTCCAGTACAGCACACAGAGAACTGTACGCTCTCTGTGTGATCTAAGCCCAGTAGCTCAGAGCTTAGCTCATTGGCAGAGAGCGATCAGCACTACAGCGCTTAGCTCAGAAGAGCTAACTGAAGCTCCTAAGTAGGAACTTATGGTTCTCCTGACTGCTGAATGGAGGCAAGTGTGGCATCTGGCAGGTAAGAAGTCAAACTGTTCTAGAATTGGTTTGACTAGTTACAATGAAGGGAGCCATTATACCATAACCACTACAACATGCTATAGTGGTTATGGTGTTTAGAGTTTCTATTAAGGCATTATATACTTCAATGAAAAATCTCTATTAGACTATTTTAAAACAACAGTGTCTTTAAAAATGGAAACACAGTTGCCTTTAGTAGAGGTGAAAACATTGACCACTAAGGAAGAATGATATTAAATTAGTAAGAAGGCTATTGGGAGTTAGCTTCAATGTGTGAGATTGGTTGTATACCAAAAATCATATTCACACTGTGTGGGCGTGTGCATAGATTTATTTTTTTTATCTTGCATTTAGCCATCAGTTTTATATGTGTTAGAGGTATTTAATTCAGAGCATGAGAGTCTATACTATACTATAATATCCTAGCACCATAGCCACTTACATTTAGCTATAGTGATCATGGTGCTTGGAGTGCTCCATCATGTGCTTTACTTGTCCAGCACCATAGACAAATCTGCAGTAATTGGTGGTCCCCAAGCATGTATGATTGTTTGCAAAAAAACAAGGGTAAAATGCACACACTAAAACAGGAGGGAATACTTCCTGCAGTGTGCTCTAGAAAGAGAGGGCCAATCCCTGAAGACATCAAATGGAAAAAAAGAAATATCCAGGAACACCTGAGGTTTCTTCTAAAAAGCAGCCTTCATAGTGGAACAAGGGCGTGGAGACAACCTTTCTGCTCCTCTCTGGGCCTTTATCAAGTCCATACTTGATAAAAGCTCAGAGAGGAGCCGAAACGTTGTCTCCACTTCCTTGTTTCAAATAAAGACTGCCTTTTAGAAGAAAACTCAGGTGTGCCCAAGCATGTATGAGTCTACCATTTAAACCCCCTGTTTACAATGCCTCTCATATCTTTGAATCACACATTCAGATTGTGTGCATGAGCTATTCTTTGAGTTACGCTGTTAATGTTGCGTGATTCATGTGGCAGTTCAAAGCCAGGCCATAATTAAATCTTAGCCCATGCAATGATGCAAAGAATGTTATGACCTAAACATGTTTTCAGCAACGTTAATGGGTGGATAGCCCTCGTGGGCCATAGATTGATTAAGGGTGCAGATTACAGGCACTATTGTGCTCAAAACAAAAATATTGCATGGTTAAAAGGCGAATTGAGCATACTAATGGTGGGTTTAAAGGGAATATCTGACATTTTATTTTTGTGTGTCCGAATATACAAAGATCAAGAAAATGGACATAAGCACCTACTTAGCGCGTCAAGAGTTTTATTGTGCATATAATATACACTTTCATTCATTATGGAATGTCATACTTGGTGCTGGATAATTACAAAATCTCCAACAATGTTAGAAATAAGTTTTTTTTTTAAATGTCTATATATTTACTGAAAGTATTAGAAGCATGTTTATTGATGAGAGGAGTGGACATGATAGCAGGCGCACCTGAAACCAAACTGTCTTGGTATTCCACTTGAGGCAAAAATAAACTTAACACAAAAGAAAAACCCTTAGAAACCCACAACCCCCATCCTTCTGTCTCACGCCCAAAACATTCTTATGTTTTAAGAGCAATCTGCTTCACTACGAGAGATAAGAAAATGGGCAGAAGAGCCTCAGGAAATTAAGGAATTCCAAATTCCTGAAGCTTTTCTATCTCTGAATTGTCAGTCCTGATACAGTGGTAAAACAAGAAATATCTGGGCTCTGTCACAAATTATTATCACATTGGGGCCATTGTGGAGATGTCACATCCAAAGAGGTTGTTGTGTTGTCCATCACATACTTTTATAATAAAGGACATTTAATAAAGGACAATACTCTTACTATAGCAGCATACTGCAGAATACTTTATAATCAAAGTCTAAGATTATATTGCCCCCAAGTTGTCTCAAATTAATCTTTTGTACCTAAACAGGTTATGTATATTGAACTGAAATATTTGCCAGATTGTCTGGTTCTACTGCTGCTTATAATTATGTAACAATGCTGACATGCTAAGAACATACTCGAGTCTACCTCTCGTGATGAAAGGCTTAAATATAGCTGGCTACATGCATTTTACATTTATTCCGCTCAGTATAAAAAATAAACATACCGTCCAGACCACACAATAGTACCAAACAAACTCCCATGATTAGACATTGTAAAAAAAATCATATACACACCCCACTGGTCTGAGCTCTTATAATACATTCCTACAGGTTTCCACCCAATAATAAACTAATGTGACCTACTCTCTGAACACTATCTATTTCTATCTCTCTTTTATACTCGCTCTCTGTGTTGCTGTTTTTATTTAGCAGATAAAACGCATACATAGGAAAAGATATATGTGTATGTGTTGGTGTATCTGTGAGTGTGCATGAATGTGTGTGTCTGTGTTCTACACAAGTTTCAATGAGGATAACTGATGCCCTGGTACACATGATTGATATTAAATATAACCAAGACTGCAGGCTAACAGGCCAAAATAAAATAATAAAAAATATAGCAACCATCAGATAAAACAATAACAAAAAAAAAAAAAAAAAGACCACATTAAGCAAAGCAGTCATGAAAAACATATATCAATAAATACAGTACTTCAGTAAATATATATATAGAGAGAGAGAGAGAGAGAGCATAAAATAAATACAGCAGATTCAATAAAAACGTATAGACATAATTTTAGAGGTGATTTATGTTTAAGTTGAAAATGATGGTATAGTTTAGTGGCCATACATGATTTAGTGTACTGATGTGCCTCTTTCTCCTACTGCACAAACATGTAGGAATCACAGTGAACTTTGAGTTTGCATGGGAAAATGGAAAGCCTTTAATCTATCAGCGAATTGTAAATTCTTTAAACTTTATCTGTGTGTGAGTCATGAGTCATAACTGCAATGTACAGTGCTCTTTGATGGGACGATCACCGTTGTTTAACCACTTCAGTGCTCAGTCAGTACACAACTTGCAAAAGCAAAAAAGGATTATAGTTCATATGAAAAAGATTTAAAAAAAAAACACAGGTGCATCTGAATCCCAGTGTTTTGGGGGCATGCATCACTGCATGTTGTAAGAAAGCCTGATTCATGATAAAATGTAACAATATATGAATGCAGTGAAAGGCATTATTCCCATGTACTAACTAGACACACACTGGTCAGTAAAGGTGCAGTGGGGTGGGACATGTCTCTATTCAGGAGGTAGGATACAGCCAGGTAACTGTAGATGGCTTGCAGCCAGACACACCCAGCTGTGACAAGGAGTAACCTGATCCCTCAGCCACTGCCTCCAGCCATAGCCCAGTTTGCAACCCATTTAAAGAGGGAGCTACCGCCTGATCACAGCCACTGGAACCCTCTCTCAGAACAGAAGCACCAAGTTCTCTCTCTTTCATCTCCTACAGTTGCACCATGTCTAAGAGATTCAGTGCCTTCTCTGCTGCCCCCCAGGGAAACAGCGTTAGTTCTGTTAGAATCAGCAAGACCTTTTCCTCAGGAGGAGGTGGATCAGCATTTGGAAGGCAAGGGGGTTTCAGCAGCTCTAGCCTGTCCAACCTGGGGTCAGTGAGGAAGAGCAATGCCTACTCAGTATCTAGCAGCAGGGCAGGCATTGGTGGTGGCTCTGGTTTTGGTGGTGGGTATGGTGGTGGATCTGGATTCAGTGGTGGATCTGGATTCGGTGGTGGGGTAGGTTTTGGAGGTGGCCACGCAGGAATCCAAGAAGTCACCGTCAACCAGAGTCTGCTGGCCCCACTGAACCTGGAATTTGACCATCAGATTCAGGATGTCCGAAAGGAGGAGAGGGAGCAGATCAAGACCCTGAACAACAAGTTTGCCTCTTTCATTGATAAGGTGAGCAAAATGGATAAGCATATACAAAATTCCATTGTATTTCTTTATTGGCAATTATTATGCAACAGGAGATAGGCAGTTAATGCAAACATTATGCTTATAGCCCTAAGATTTAAAGACTGTAAAACGGATACAGATGTTGGGAAAAGTGACAATGTGACTACATGTTAATTGTGTTACTTTGTTAATGTAGTAAAGTGTTAGAACTTAATGAAACCAGTAATATAAACGCTATTGCTCAAAACGAACTTTGTATTAACTGTTTAGATATCAAATTATATATCACTCTCACTATACTGGATGTACTTTGTAAAAAGGTTTTTCTCATCTGCACAGTGTGTCCTTTATTTCATCCTTGTAAAGATGTGCAAGTAACTGAATTACAAGTTTTGACAAGTAGCCTTAAGGGATACAAATCAGGTGTGCACCTCTGTGACACTCAAAATAAGTATGCATTCTATTTACATTTTTTTTTTTTTTTTTAAACTTGTAACAGGTTAGATTCCTAGAACAGCAAAACAAGGTACTGGAAACAAAATGGGATCTCCTACAAAACCAGAAATCTTCCAAAGCAGGTAGTAACATTGGCCCCATGTTTGAAGCTTACATCAGCAACCTGAGAAGGCAGCTGGACTCACTGGGCAATGACAAAAACAAACTGGATGGTGAACTAAGGAACATGCAAGACTCAGTCGAAGACTTCAAGAACAAGTAAGTCATTCAATGATTAGCAATGATTAATAATCCAAAACTATAGGATCGAGTCTCCCATTTTGTCTAGCGGCTCCCAGAAATAAATTGTGCAAATATTAGGAAGCCTTAACCCTCTGAGTGCCAGAGAATTGTGCAACACGTTTGGGTGTGCAAAATACAGTATACCTCATTGATTAGAAGGACTAATTGTACTTTGCTTCATGGTTACTTTTTTAGATACATTCCCCCGTTGAAAAATGTAAAATGCTGGGAAAGAAATTGGTATAGAACTTCAAATCAGTTGTAATTTAAAAAAAAAAAAATGTCACAAACATGGGGCTGTGCCACACCCTTATAGGATAGGAGAAATGCAAGGGAGGGGGGGGGGGGGGAATTGCACAAAGACTTCAGTGGCCAACTTGACAGGAACTAAGGCAAACAATGTAGATAAACCATGGGTGTGTCCCTTCCAGACAAGTCAATAGCAGGTAATCTATACCAAGGGAAAGAGAGAGGTCCAGCACTGCGGGAACAAAAGGGGCTTGGCAGGGATACATAGCTAAGATCACTTGAGCGAAACCATTACTGTTTTTTTTTACCACATTCACACCCACACAGTAAAACAAAACATACAAACAAACAAAAAAAGTACAATACTACACGTACATATATAGGTCTTCAGGATGGATTAAATGTAATATGAGCGTCCCCCTCACACAGTATCCGATATACTTATTATTGTTCACAGTACGTACCTGCATTTTTAGCAGAATTCTACCATGAACATAAGTACACACATGCATATAATAATATCCCACGGGCACTGATACCCAGAAATATATATAGTTCATAAGGCAAAAATCTTTTATCATTCAATACCACCAGGTCCGCTGGTGGGTTTTTTATTTTAGTGACATAATATTATTTAACCGCTTTATTTGTAGTTTATTTACTAAACCGTGAATTGTGATTTTTTTTTTAAAATTGTTTTTATCAAGGCTCAAATAGTCAATATGGGCATGTGGCTAAGTTGGACAATTTTTTCCCCCAAGTCTGCACTTTTGCTCAGAATTAGCAAAATGGATAAATTAGCTATGTATTTTTTTTTTACTTAATTGTTCCTAAACAGTTTCTTAACTGCAAATACAATATTTATACAAAATAAATGATTCGCTATACCTCTGGATCAGTGAACAATGCTATTGCTTCTAGAGGTGCTACAGTTGTATAGTAACCTATGCTGGGTCAAACAGAGATCAGATCTAAACGCAACAGCTTCCACTTAGATTGATTTGAGTAATGTCTAGTTCTGCTGGTTTCTGGAAATATTAAGGTTATATTACAGTCTATTGCAGATGTTGGTTCATTAAAATGAACACAAAAGAAGAGTGTGTGTTTAGGCAGGGAAAGAAATACCTGTCGTCCTGCTTTCCGGAGGAGATTATACAACAATGAATAGAACGCAAGCACAGATAGACTTTGTTTTGCACTGGAAATCCTTCCTGCCAAATACACTGACAATGTCTTTCCATTCTCCCTCCCTGCAGGTATGAGGATGAAATCAACAAGCGCACTGGAGCTGAGAATGAGTTCGTAGTCCTGAAGAAGGTGAGGTGTTTATTAGATTAAATATACTGTTAATATTATTGTTATTATTTAGCAATAGGGAATGAGTGATAGAACCCAGTGTATATTCTACACATTCTCTAGAATGTATTCATTATGGTGAACCATAAATCTTATTCAAACCTCCATCTGTCCTAAATTCAGTAGGACAGTCCCTAATGCAAGCCCACCATCACTGGTTTGTTTTCTGATGTCCCACGTCTGGGAATGCATGAGGAAAATCAATTATAAGTGCAGTGTGAGTGCATAATGAGATGCAATCTGACTGCACACATCAATCTTGGAACATTTCTACTCATCCAGAGCATGTCATAAACTCTCTGCACCTGTTTCACTCAGGGGAGTTGGATAGCATGATGACCAGTCAGCCTGACACACCCCTTTCTTGGGAAGTCATACACCTTACTTCATCACCATTTACACTCATTTCATAATGACAGGGTCTCTACTGGACCACCAACCCTTTCTGTCCGTCTTTCATTCATCCAAACGGTGAAACATTTTCTAAATTAAAAATTCAGGCTAAGATATGCTGTGACTATGGCCAGGTTGAATAATTTTTCCAAAACATCTACTTTGCCTACATTTGGCAACTTAGTTTTAAAATCACTCTAATTCACTTTTCAATGTACAATACCCTGTAATATTATACATATAAATATCCATAGAATAGCAGCACAATTTGTAGATTTATAATAATTTAGGCACAGTCCCTTCCACTTTAAAAAATAAAAAAAATAAAATAGTGGATATACATAAAAATACAGCACACAGAAGAGTGGGGGTAATTTCCTAACAGTGAACACTTAACCATAGATACCAATCGAATGCTCTATTTATTTACATGTTTATTTAGAAGGTTTCTTTGTGTAACTTTTTTAAAATTCTTACCCATTGCACATATCAACTCATTTTTAATACTAACGTCAATGGTTGCAATATTTGAAGTCATTTTAAAGACCACAAACTGAGCTGTAGAGAGATAAACAGCTAATTTGTCATTATTCAATTCTAACGTGAACGACAGCATAAAGTCTAGTCAATAAAGTATAACACAGCTTCATATTTATTGTGAAAACAATGTATGTATAAATGGCCTCTTTGCTCTTTCATAGGATGTCGATGCTGCCTACATGAACAAGGTGGAGCTGGAGGCTAAGGTGGATGGTCTGACAGATGAGATCAACTTCTTGAGAGCTTTGTATGAAGCAGTAAGTCACATTTTTATTCTGGAACAGAGCTCTTGTGTGGTATATGTAACTTACGACAGGTGCGATAGGAGAGGCCTCATATTACATGGTATATATGCCAAATAAACAAATGCTAGATTTGTGGAGTATTCTTTATTTAAAAAAACCCAAAACATTGTATTTGCATATTCCGCGCCCTGCTCTAATGTTTAAATACTCATGTGCTCACATTCAGGATAATTAGTGTCGTTGTAACCAAATCATACTTAAATATATTGTTTCTTTGTAGGAATTAAATGATTTGCAGGCAAAGATCCAGGACACCTCAGTTGTCCTCTCCATGGATAACAACCGCGCTTTGGACCTAGATGGCATCATTGCTGAAGTCAAGGCTCAGTATGAAGAAATTGCCAACAAGAGCCGTCTAGAGGCAGAAAATACGTACCAGAGTAAGGTAAATATCATCCTAGCACCGCAGAAAATAAACATGCTTTCGACTCTTTCTGAATAAATCTGCTGCCAGACAGGATCCTCTCTGGTAAATAACATAATCAATTCGAATCTGTACATTATCTGGACTGGAGGTGTCTGCTGGCTGCATGTAAGTCACATGCTTCCCCGTGGAAAGTCTTTCACTTGATCCTGGAGTTGACATTTTACTTAAAAAATTAAATAAAAATAATAATAATATTTTTAGACTGACATTTATTTTAAGGCATTATGTATGGTAATTCATCAATTAAATAATTGTTAAAAATCATGTATTATTTTTGTCTCCTTTTACAGTTCCAGGAGCTGCAAGCCAGTGCAGGCAAACATGGAGATGATCTACGCAACACAAAGGCCGAGATCTCCGACCTGAATCGTGCAATCCAGAGGCTGCAGGCTGAGATTGAAAATGTTAAGGCCCAGGTACTATTCTGTCTCATTTTCCATAGTTTACACTCCATATTAGTAGACCAAAGGGCATTTATCATCTGTAAATAGTTGCAAATAAATCTTGCAAATCAAGTGAGCAGCTCTCTTAGCTCCAGGAAAATGTGGAGGGGATACATTCAAATTAGGCTGCTTCATATTGTTCTTGTACACCGATTAATTTTAACAAACTCATTTGCGTAGATTCCATGCATGGGAGTTCCACTTACAAATTCTCAGAATGTCCCATTTCTGCTCCAAAAACTCAATCTGTTATGTATTGGTATATTAGGTTTAACTTTTTGCCAGTTTAGTAAAGTACAATATCATATTAATTACATGCAAGACTGCATTGGTGACATATTTCAGTAGCATTCAACTAAAGCATTGTATTTATAACATGCAGCTCACAAGTGCTCACTATTACTTAATATTACATTTGACCGTAATTATGTTGATAAATAATACAGTTTACTACTGATGAATACTTACATTTAAACAGTGCATTTAAAATATTACTACTTCTGCATTGACTAAATAAGAGATCTTATTTTTGACAAGTGAGCTTCCCACAATGTTACTATGACAAAATACTTCCATTTATTATAAAAGTTTAAGGCAGGTGCAACCACAAATGATTTAATGTTGCCTGGAAGGAACATACAGCAAGCGGCAACATTGGGATTACTTATCATTCAATGTTTCCTTTGAACAATCTGGTTTGAGGGCAGGGAGCGGATGAATGAATCATGGTGTGATCAGCTGCCGCTTTTAAATAATGCAGGTGATAAAACCTTCTATCAACTTAGAAAGAGCAAGAATTCTCTGTCTATTTACATCGTATTGTGCTGTGCTGACATTAGCAAAACATTCTATTGTGGACTAATTTCCACAGGTCAAAGAAACTTTAACTTCTTCATTTAAAACCAATAACCGCATAACTAACACAATTCTGTTCTGTGTTTTTAAAGAGTCCATAAAAAATGTAGGCACTTATTCCTCAAAAAATGAATTTTGGTTCATCAACAACAAAACTTAAATTTGTGTCAAATCAATTAATCTCTTCTATTAAACTTGAAACTTAAATTATATCTAGATAACTTTATAACTCTGTAAATTTAAAATCCCTCCTAAATGTAAATTGCTTGAAGAGTCACAAATATTTTTATCTAGGATCCCAAAATTATTTTAAAATAATAAAAATTAAACAATGATAAACTATTAAAATTTGGCACAATTGCAAAGTGGATCTTTTTTCTTGATTGCACTCATGGAAATCAGCTATACTTGTATTATCGAAACAATGGAAAATGCATTTCTCTTCTTCTTTTCTCCTAGCGTGCCAAACTGGAAGCCCAGATTGCTGAAGCTGAGGAGCGTGGTGAATTGGCATTGAAAGACGCCCGGGAGAAATTGGCTGAATTGGAAGGTGCTCTGCAGAAGGCCAAGCAGGACATGGCTCGCCAGCTCAGAGAATATCAGGAATTGATGAATGTGAAATTGGCTTTGGATATTGAAATTGCCACCTACAGGAAACTCTTGGAAGGAGAAGAAAGCAGGTAAAATTTGGGAAACCTTTTCATTAATCCAAACGGTTCGGTCAACTTTTCATCATTTTGAGGTCAATGAAATGAGGATCAAAAATCTTTTGGTACATAGGAATATTTTGTGATTTGTTGTAAAGGACAAACATCATAATCCTAGAATTAAATGTAGCAATTTAAGAAAAATGGCCCCGTTATGACTTTGAGCATATTTGGTAATATAATCATTTGGGTGAAATGGGTTAGTCAGTAATTTTAGATGTTATATTTTAGAATTTCCCCATCATGGCATTGGTGTTAAACCTTTTTTTTGTTTATGTAAGAAACTACATAGGATAGCACAGACTTTTTAAAAATAATAATCAGATTGGCTTAGTTACCATTCATAGTAACTGGTCATTAATGTAGACATATCTGATATCCATTTATTTTCTTTTATTTCAGACTTTCTGGTGAAAATGTCAGCGCTGTCACTATGTGTAAGTATCATACTTTCGTTGCTTGATATTGGACATCAGTCTTTCATGTGGATGATTTAATATATAACATAATTTTTGTCTGTTTATAAGAAAAACTAATTTAACTTATTTTGTACAGGGGAGAAACAATGTGTTAAGTGCCTCATATTTCTAGAGTTATTATGAAAGGGTGTGTGTGTGTTGTCTTTTTGATACGTTGCACAAAGCTAAGCTCTTTTAATCTTCTGCAGCTGTGGTAAACTCCAGCTCTGGCGGTAGCGGCGGTAGCAGTGGATTTGGTGGCTATGGAGGTGTATCAAGCAGTTATGGCGGTGGAAGTGGAAGCTACGGAGGAGGATCTGGCTATGGCAGCTCTGTCAAATACGGCAGTGGTGGATCATCCGGTGTGAAATCTTATTCCGTGACAACCACATCATCCAGCAGAAGTTCTAGATACTAAGAAATTCTCTTACCTACTGTTCAATGACAGTTCTAGCTCTAACCATGTCTCTTAGCAGTTGTTGTCTATGTTATAAACCTAACACAAATAAAAAAAAAATCTTTCATTTGAGTGTTTTTGCCATACCTAGACATCATATGACCTGCCTAGTAAATTGATGTTGGCTTAGGTTTCATTATCACAAAAGTTCTTGAAGCTGTCCACAAAAATCTTAGTTGCTGATAACAGGTGCATTTGACATGTGCTTAGATTCTGACATTGTCAAAAAGCAGTGCTTCTCTCTCTCTGCTTGTCCTTGCAGTTTTCTCCTGTGCTTCTCCTTACTGCTCTTTAAATGCATGCTCTCCTTGAGCTTGTCACCAGTGGTCTTGGGAACGCCTAGTGGTGATTGCAAGACAAAGCTTGGTGCCTTTTCTTACATATCATGCCCCTAAAATACCATTGAAAATGTATCATTAAAAACCTTTAGAGTCATTTTAGTCAATACACCACGGGGATGTGCAGATCCCAAAAAAACTAAATTTAACAGTATTTGTGGGTGGAATTTTTATATTTGTATTTTTCCTTGTTGCTAAGTGACTCTCAACAATTGTATATATCAATAGAGATATATGGTGCTAATATGACCCACCAGGAAAGATCACAAAGTCTCTGACACTACTGAATTTGCCAGGCAGCAAGTTATTTTGGAATTTTACGAACGCTTTTTACTAAAGTAGGTACCTGCATCTAGAAACAACCCTCTGTAAGAAAGCATTCTTTTTTGGTTTCCACTCTGTAATATTGTCTGTATTAGTTGGTGGAAGTCTTCTGACTTTGTGAGAAGGGATTGTATGTTTGCTGTGAAAACATAAAGCATTTTAAATAAAATTCCTTCAATCTATTTGTTCTGTTTTAGTTTTGTATTCATCCCAAAATATGAAGTAGGACTACCAAGTCCTAGGTAACTATTGGTTATACTATATATTATTTACAGTATTTTAGCATGTTAAAGCAGATCTCTAACTGTCTGGGGCCTTTATATAATTTGCAAAGACCCCCAACAGTCACTTTGCAGCTGGGGGTCTGATGGTTGGGGGGTGGGGGTAGGCCATGGTAAGTTTAACTTACAAGAACCTGTTTCTCGCAGGTACGGCTATGCTCTACCATGTGCACCTCTTAATGCATGCATGCGCAAGAGTACAGCTTCGAGGTCTATGCAGGCTCCTGTGAGACTGCAGGATCCTCCATAAAAACAGCTTAATTTCCCTACAAACCTCACTGGTGACGACTGGTAAAAATTACAAAACATTCAGTCTGTGAGTATTTCATAAAGATTCTATTTATATAAAGTGCTTATTTTGAAGGGGGAGGTGATAGAACCACTTAAACCATTAATACTATTTCCTTAGTGTATGAGCCCATTCAAACACAGATATAAAAATATATTGCATGCCTCATCATCTGAGACTTTTTTAAAGTTTAAAAGGGGTATCCAGTTTGTAATTGTTTTCATATGTATTATAAACAAGCTGAAAAAAACCCCTGATAATTCTTCATGGATTACTTTATTTATATGCCCTTTATCCTATAGAATCTCATCTCTAGTCATTACCTAGATAAAATCAGCAATTATTAATTTGTATTGTAGTGGATCAGAAAATTACTGTTAACACATTAGTTAACGCCGGGACACTCCAGACCCTTAAAGCACCTCAGCTTGCTAAATTGCTTTATGTATGAAGAGTGTGTCCTCTTTTTTTTTCCATTTTACAAAAAGTGCAGATTTCAATCGAAATGTACACTTTCACAAATTAACCTTGTTACATCCCCTGACTGTTAGACAACTGGTCCTGTTACTTCCTGGTTCCTTAGCTCAGTGGAGCTAAACCCATGAGACAGGCAATTGTCCAGAACACCTGCATTGCAAATACTTCTTGAATGGGGATAAAAGGGGGAAGACTTGCAAAGGCTTTATACAAGAGATTTGCAGCTTTTGCAAGCTGCTTTTATATATATTATTTACAGTATTTTAGCATGTTAAAGCAGATCTCTAACTGTCTGGGGCCTTTTTTTATACAAAAGATTTGCAGCTTTTGCAAGCTGCTTTTATATAAAAGCAGCTTGCAAAAGCTGCAAATCTCTTGTATAAAGCCTTTGCAAGTCTCTCTCTATATATATAAATATATACCACCAATAAAAAATGCTCAATAAAATGTATGCATGTTTTTATTAGGGGTATGTCTACTGAACAGTTATTTTTACTTTTTGTTTGGTATTTGGGCAGTGCAATGTCCCTTTAACATAGTAAAAATATTACCTAACATATTAAAAACAAAGACAGATGAAGGTCCACAAATAAAAGATTTAGCAAAGATACCATAAACAAAGTAACCATGAAAAGGAGGTTTGGGAAAATGGCTGGTCTTAAAATGTCAGACTATGACCTGCATAATGGGGCAGTCTAGTAGTGCTTATGGTGTTACCAGGCTACATCCTATCCCCAAGGTCTTAGTCAATCATTTTTGAACATGTAGTGGTTATAGTGCTAACAGTGGTTATTTAATATCATTTATATTACTTGAACATTGCAATTGAATCACTTACCCATTAAAAATTGTATTCTTTGTATTTTACTGCAGTAATAATCCCTTTTATAGAAAGAAGAGACTAAAAGTTGAAGGAAGAGACAGGAGTAAAAACTGATTCAAATCGGTTGCTTGTTTTCACTCAACTAGAATATATCTGCAGGGTAATGACGAGTTTTCAAATGCATTTAAACTTCAATAAATGTCCCTTTTAATATAAGATTACCTTATATCAAGGATTACTTTCTTTTCACCTGGCAGTTAGAACTCACGTGTTCAAAGTTACACTATTGTGTGTTATCCCCAATGAAATACTTAGTAAACAAGCAAGTAAATGATTTTAATAATATAAGTGTATGACTCTACAAGACTAAAATTAACAGGTAAAATATTCAACTGTAGGTTATAACAGAATGGCAGAAGCATAAAATAAAACATGTCAACAAAGAAAAAAATGACCCCTGTTTAAAAGTCTGCATACCCTTAGTTCTTAATGCTGTGTATTGCCCCCTCTAGCAGCAATGACAGCATGCAGTCTTTTTTTTAATAGTTATCTATGAGGCCCCTAATTCTTGCAGGTGATATATTTGCCATTCGTCTTGGCAAAAGGCCTCCAGGTCATGCAAAGTCTTTGGTCGTCTTGCATGAACTGCACATTTGAGATATCACCAGAGTGACTGGATGATATTAAGGCCAGGAGACTATGATGGTCACTTCAGAACCTTCACCTTTCTCTTCTTTAACCACTGGACTGTCAACTTGGCCTTGTGCTCAGGGTCATTGTCATGCTGGAAAGTCCAAGAGCATCCCATGCGCAGTCTTTGTGCCGACGAATGAAAATAAGAATGCAGTATTTTCTGATCGCATACTGCATTTATCTTGCCATCAGTTTTCACAAGATTCTCCGTGCCTTTAGATCTCGCGCTGTGAGGCATGTCAAGGTGTTATCGGGCATTTTGTAACAGGACTTTTTGTGGCATTGGCGCATTAAAGGCTTCTTTCTGGCAAATCGACCATGCGGCTAATTTTTTTTCAAATATAGTCGTATTGTGCTCATTGAAACAACCACACCATCTTTTTTCAGAGCAGCCTGTATTTCTCCTGAGGTTACCTGTGGGTTTTTTTTTTACTCCCGAACAAATCTTCCAGCAGTTGTGACTGAAATCTTTCATGGTCTACCTGACCTTGGCATGGTAGCGAGAGATCTCCGAATTTTCCACTTATTAATAAATGATTGAACAGTACTGTCAGACATTTCTAAGGCTTTGGATAGCTTTTTATATCTTTATTCCATCTTTATAAAGTTCCATTACCTTGTTACGCAGGTCTTTTGACAGTTTTTTTCTGCTCCCCATGGTTAGTATCTAGCCTGCTCAGTGCATCCACGTGAGAGTAAACACACACTTTGACTATTTATACACAGACACTATTTGCCATTTAAAAAGCCACAGGTGTGGAAAAATTAACCTTCAATTGCAATCTAACCTGTGCGTGTCACCTTTTGTGTCTGTAACCAGGCCAATGATTAAGGGTATGTAAACTTTTGGTAAGGGCCATTTGGGTGATTTTTTATTATCATTATAATTTAACCCCTTAACGACCTAGGATGGTTCAGAACCATCATCAGCATTTTTGCATTGCCAACCGCTGACAGTCCTGAACCGTCCTAACGGTCTTATGTACTTACCCGATCGCTGTCATTCCCCCTGCGGTGCTCCCGGTGTGGGGAGACTGCCTGCAGCCCAGACAGTCTCCCCGCGGTGGATTAGGACAGAGCAATCACATGGTCACAATAGGTGTCCCTGTGTCTGCCTGCAGGGGGACTGCCTGTGTTGACAGGCAGTCTCCCTGCAAGTGTAAAATAAAAAAAAATAAAAATAAAATAAAGGTTATTATTAATAAATAAAAATATTATTATATATGTGTATATATATTGATATAATATATGTCTATATATCATATCTATAATGTCATACTAAGTTTATTTTTATATTAATATGAACTTATGTTAATATAAAAATACACTTATAATTAAATTACACACGTATATATAATATATATAATAACTATATATATTGTATATATATATTATAAAATACAAATAATAAGTAAATTAAATAAAAAAATTTTTTTTTAAATAATAAAAATTAAAAAAATTATATATCTATATGAAATTTTATTCTAACTGTAATTTGATATTAAAATATATATATTTATATCAAAATACACTTAGAATGAAATTGTATATATATATATATCTATGTATATATAAATAAATAAAAATAATACGAAATATACATATGTCCATATACAAAATTACATAACTAATTATATAAATATACACGTAGACTTCAAATATATAAATATGCATATATATTTAAATTCTACATGCATATTTACGTAATATTTTTACATAATTAAGTAATTTTATTAATTGCCATTTGAGGGACCTGCCTGCCAAACCATGCCGAAAGTCCAGAGAATTTAATTTGCTAGCACTGTATTTTACCCTGTAACTTTCTATGACACCCAAAAACCTGTACATGGGGGGTACCGTTTTACTCGGGAGACTTCGCTGAGCACAAATATTAGTGATTCAAAACAGTAAAACATATCACAGCGATGATATTGTCAGTGAAAGTGACTTTTTTTCGCATTTTTCACACACAAACAGCACTTTTACTGATGATATAATTGTTGTGATATGTTTTCCTGTTTTGAAACACTAATATTTGTGTTCAGCAAAGTCTCCCGAGTATAACAGTACTCCCCATGTACAGATTTTATAGCATTTATGAAAGTTACAGGGTCAAATATATGGGTCAAATATTTTTACATTGAAAATGGAAAGTTGGTTACGTTGCCTTTGAGAGTGTATGGTAGCCCAGCAATGAGAATTACCCACATGATGGCATACCATTTGTAAAAGAAGACAACCCAAGGTATTGTAAATGGGGTATGTCCAGTCTTTTTTAGTAGCCACTTAGTCACAAACACTGGCCAAAATTAGCGTTCAATTTATTTTTTAAATTTTTTTCACACACAAACAAATATGAACACTAACTTTGGCCAGTGTTTGCGACTAGGTGGCTACTAAAAAAGACTGGACATACCCCATATTGAATACCCTGGATTATCTACTTTAAAAAAAAATATGTACATGTGGGGTGTTATTTAGAGATTTATGACCGATAATAGTGTTACAATGTCACTATTGATAAATTTGAAAAAATTTATGTTTTGAAACCGCAATATCCTACTTGTACCTATAGCCCTATAAAAAAGCATGTAAACACTGGGCATTTTAAAACTCAGGACAAAATTTTGAATCTATTTAGCATTTTTTTTAATTCGATTTTGTAGATGAGTAAAAGATTTTTCAAGTAAAAGTAAAAAAACATGAATTTTTTTCAATTTTTCATCATGTTTTTTTATTTTTTTTAAAATTAAATTACATGAGATTACATAAATAATGGTATGTAAAGAAAGCCTTTTTTGTCCTGAAAAAAACAATATATACTTTGTATAGGAACAGTAAATGAGAGAGCAGAAAATCACAGCTAAACATAAACACCACAAAAGTGTAAAAGAGTCATGGTCGCAAATGTACAACATCGCAAAAACAGTCCAGTCCTTAAGGGGTTAAAAAGGAGTCAAACAACTATGTGATAATACATGGCTACACATGGTCACTATGCGTCAATAAAATACTTTTTTTTTTTTGCATAATCAGTCATGTTTTCAAATTCAATGCCAAAATGTCAAAATGTCTGCCAGGGTATGCAAACTTTTGAGCACAACTGTACATGAATAAAATCAGAATAAATGTATTGTCATGTTAAGACTAGATTTCATGCAGGGCTAGACAGACAAGCTCTGTTATTGAAAAAATCCCCAAGATTATCAGTGATTTGTGTTGTAAGATGACTATATTTCTTAAAGGGTTACTCCAGGCACCATAACTACTTCAGCGATTTGGAGTGGTCATGGTGCCTGGATTCTGTATGTGCAACAACTCCACCTATAACTCCACTTCTGGCAGTGTCAATGGGGTGTCAGCAGCCAAACCAGAACTAGGGTTCTGGGCTGCTTAATGCCAATTTTGTGTAAATCTGTGGAACTCATTCCTTGGCTGAGAGCAGATCAGTTGAAGCTCAGTCAATGAATGAGTGTCAGGATCAGTATCCAGCTTTAGCAGCTCTGGAGAAGCCTGATTTAAAAAAAGGCTGCTTCGAAAATGACCCAGCACCTGGCACGACCAGGTAAGAGGGCAAACCATATTAAGACTGTTTGCTCCTTTATCAGGGAACGACGCCAGGGTACTCTTCACATCATAACCTCTATAGCTGGCTGTAATGGATATGATGGTTGGAGTAACCCTTTAACCTGAATTTGTACAGTACTTCACTCAAATCACAAATCTGTTCCAAGATATGCTTTAAAACTGCCATGCACATTGAACTGGTGTTTACAGTTCATAATATCAGTTTTATGGCAAACCTAAAAAGGTCATATGTATTCAAATATGATTTGAATACATATAGCCAAATTCATATACCCAAATGT